CACTCCAAGTGGTTTTCTGGTAGTTAATTGGAGATAAGAGTCTCACAGACTTTCCTGCCAGGCTGGCTTCAAACTGCGATCCTCAGATCTCAGCCAACCAGTACCCAGCCTTAAGATATATATGTTTTTAAACAATCTTTGTTTTTTCTTTTTTGTTGCTGGCTAGTTTTGAGGCATATGAGTTTATCTTGTTTGAGATTTGTTAAAATTCTTAGACTTGAGATTCTATCTTGTACCGTTTGCAAAGTGTTTAGTCATTTTATGTTTAAACACTGTTTCCCAATGTCTTACATGGCTTTTCTCTTCTTAGTTATCTAATGGCACTAAGAATCTCTCACAAGTACTGTGGCTGGTTTTCTTTTTTCTTTTTCTGTTCTTTTGTCTCATTTGTCAGATGCAGTAAAGGCCATTGGTCTATCTTCAAATTCACTTCCTTCTCATCTCTGCTTTGCTTTTAGTGCCTTTACAAAATTTCAAATTCTCAAATATATTTCTGTCTTTACAAAAGAAAAGGAAGTTTCCTGACCAATTGCTGGGGCTCATGGTAGCTACTCAGGAGACTGAGGTCTGGAAGATTTCAGTTTGAGGTCAGTCTGGGCAGAAAAATGTCCTAGCTACCATCTCCAAAATAACTAGCAAAATATGGCATGGTTTAAGTAGTAGAGTGCCAGCCTAGCATGCATGTGGCCTTGCATTTAACCCCCAGTACTGCCAAGAAAACAACAACAACAAGGAAACCCAGCTTCTCAGTCTGGGAGTATGGATCAGTGGTCTAGAACTAGTTTAACATTGGAGAGGCCCTCAGTTCCATTTCCAGCAGCACCCCCAAAAAGGGGAAGGGAGGCTCTAGATGATTGAATCCTATTGATTCTTATAGATCTGTACATTTGGCCCATTGTATTACATTTGACCACTTGGACTTTTTTCTGTCACTGATACACTTGTTTTGGTACTCCACTGAATCTCTTGGGCTTCCCATCCTCCACTGACCAGGCATAGGCCTGCATTAGGCAATTCTGAGTTTGACAATGCCAGGTTGAAGATATGTCTAAGCTTTTCTTTGCTGATCCCCCTCCCCCAACAATGTCTTTCATTGTGCTAGATATGCTGAATTAAATTAAATAAATGTATTCACTGATAGTTCACAGGTCCAATCTAGCCAATGTAATATACTTTTTAAATTCCTAGTGCTTTACTCCTCTCCCTCTCTTTTTCCTTCTCCTTCTCCCTCTCCTTCTCTCTTTCTTTCCCTGTCTTCTATTCTGGGCAGTAGCCATTAAACCTTGGCCTTGGACAGGCAAGACAAGAGTTCTACCACTGAGCCACAATCTTAGCCAAGTGATTATTCCTTTCACTCTAAATGTCTCCAGAATTTAGTGGTGCATATTTCATATTTTGCAACTTTTTAAGCCCAGTTATCATCACAGACAGTCTTTACAAATCTAATGACATGGGATCTAGAGACTTTATAGAGCCCTAGGCAAGATGGAATTACTGTATTAGAGTAGTGCAGTCAAAGAACAGGAAGCTAAGATGATCATTAGCATGACTGACATGAAGTGGATGATCTGCCACTCATTAGCCATGAAGTTGTTGGCAACGTTTAGAAAGCTGGCAAGTTGACAACACTTACTCATTTTTAGTCAATCCTTCAGTGGCTGTGTATTGGTTATCTGTACGTGCCAGGAAGAAACAATGAACACTGTTGAGATGCAGTTGAGGCTTTCTGGGGGTCCCTGGGTACCTGTAGAGTCACAAATTTGCTGAAGAATGGCAGGTCTCAGCTCTTTCTGAGGATGCTGAGCAAGGATAATAAGTCTCCAGCAGAACTGGTTCCAGGAAGCCACACACTGAGGAGGTAAGGGGGCCTGGATCCAGATCTTTGTTGTAACATCACCAGTAAGAGTTCAATGACACTAAAGTTCTCCAACTCAAGATCAGCATTACCAATAAGCCATCATATGCCAGCTATGTTACCCACAATGATCTCAGTGATAAGTAAAGAATTTTTGTTGTTTTACAGACAGATCTCGAAACTGAAGCACAGAATCCAACAGCTTGCTCAAAGGCTTAGTAAGCAGTCTGTGACCTGAGGGCTCAAAGTCATAATCATTGTGGTCTCTCTGCTGATTAACCTCCTTGTGAACTGAGCCATGTACATGAATTATCATCAATCCAGGAAACAGTGGCTTATGCCTGAACTCCTAGCTACTCAGGAGGCTTAGATCTGAGGATATAGGTTTGAAGCCAGCCTGGCAAGCAAGCCCATGAGACTCTTATCTCCAGTTAACCAGCAAAAGGCCAGAAGTGGAGCTATGGCTCAAAGTGATTGAGGAAGAACAAAAAACATCCAGGCCCTGAATTCAAGCTCCAGGACACACACTCTCTTTCTCTCTCTCTCTCTCTCTCTCACCCACACCCACACGCACACACACACACACACACACACACACACACACACACACACACACAATTACCGTGAAGACCTGAAGCATTCCAGTTTCTTGCAGACAGTACTTTTTTTTAAGTTAGAAAATACAAATATTGTGGCCAAAAAATCAAGCCATTTATTATTTTAATCCAAGTAAAACAAATCTGAGTTAAATTGACAGTAGGTAAATGAATTAGATATTAATTGTGAAGGACATAATTGGAGTGATGTGATGGCATACAAGCTCTCAGGAAAATATGCTTAAGAGTCAGAGACCACTAGATATTATCCCTAGGTGGATGTTTACATGGCAAACAGAATTAATGGTCTATAATTATTGCTATTGGTGTGTGTGTGTGTGTGTGTGTGCAAGCACATGCACTTGCACACATGCTTGTGTGTGTGTGCTGCTCCTGGGCTTTAACTTAGGGACTCTAGTTCCCCTTCAGTGTTTTTTCTACTGGCTGGCTCTCTACTACCTGAGCTATGCCTCCACTTTGGGATTTTTGATGGTTAGTTAAGATAAGTTTCCTTGATTTGTCTGCCTGGGCTAGCTTCAAATCTGACATCCTCAGACCTCAGACTCCTGGATAGGTAGGATTACAGGTGTGAGCCACTGTCCCCTGGCATCTAATTTTTTAAAATGATGGCAAAATATACATAACATTTACCATCTTAATTACTTTTAAATGTAGAACTTAATTAGTGCTAAGTGCTTTTTTTTTTTTTTTGTCAGTTGTGGGGCCTGAACTCTGGCCCTGGGCTCAAGCCTAGCGCTCACCACTTGAGCCACAGCTCCACTTCCCGTTTTTTCTGCTTATGTGGTGCTGAGGAATCGAACCCAGGGCCTCCATGCATGCAAGGCAAGCACTCTACCACTGAGCCACCTTCCCAGCCCCAGCGCTAAGTGCTTTTATATGATTGTTCATTCAGTTTCCAAAACTCTTTTCATCCTTCAAAGTTGGAACTCTGTCTCCATTAAACTGCAATGTATGATCCTCTTTCCTTCGCTATCATCATCATTATAATTTGTCTCTATGAATCTGAAGGTCCTAATTTTTGGCCTTACAGGAGTGTATGCACTGGTTTCTTTTTGCTTTTTTGTTTTCCTTTTTGTTTGTTTTTTTTTGGCCTGTCTTAGGGCTTGAATTCAGAGCTTTGCACCTGAGGATTTTTTAGTTCAATGTTAGCGCTCTGCCATTTGAACCACAGTCCCACCTCCAGCTTTTTTTTCTTCATTTTTTATTACCTTTAAGTAGTCTAGCTTTTTTTTTTTTTTTTTTGTATGTGTGGAGGGAGGATGGTTAATAAGTCTTATGAACTTTCCTGCCCAGGGTGGCTTTGAACCTTGATCCTCAGATCTCAAATTCCTAAGTAGTTAGAATTATAGCTGTGACTCACCAGCACTGGGCTTGTTGTTTTTAATTAAATGTTCTCTAAATATCAGTGAGTACCTTTCTTAAGAGATAAACTATCTCTAGTAATAAGTGAGGAGAAGAAGTAATTTATGTCAATTTTCTGGTATAAACTTCTTTCACTTTCCAGATTGTATGAACTAGCTTTCCATTTTCTACTAGAAAAATAAGAATAGACATTAATTGTGCTCCACTGAATCAGTTAAGAGAATGATGCACAAGGTGCCCACGGCTCTGCCCCAGGGTAGGTTAAAAATGTGAGTACCCTCCTGTTTTATAGGGTGTGTCACTTGCTGTGAAGACGCTCAGCTAGAAATCATACTGCTCCCTTGGTCACAAACCCTTAGATAAATGAGGGCCACCTGGACACCTGCAGCCTACTTGCCTAGAGACTTGGCTGAACTTTTGCCATTGCATTTGAGTGGCAGGGAAGGGACCTTAAAAACCTTTGGGGAGAACTTTATAACGTGTGGGGGGGAGGAAGGAGTTGGGGAGGTAGGCAGGGAAGGGATGGTAGAGGAAAAACAAAGGAGGAGGTAACAATGCTCGATAGAATATATACTCATTACCTTACTCATATAACTGTTACCCCTCTGTACACTATTTTTACAATAAAAACATATTTTAAAAAACCTTTGGGGACAGTCCTTCACCTCAAATTTCTACAACTTTCATGTTTTTCAATCAAAAGGATCAAAATGTGTTGTGAAAGACAATTCCCTTGTTTTGCAGGCCTCAGGAAGAGTTGGGATCTCTCTCTCCCTCTCTATTTCTCTCTCTTCCTACTAATCCTTAAGGATTAGAGTATGAATCAGAAAAGGTAACTGGGCAAGGGCAGCCTTGGGAGCACAAGAGTTGAGCGGCCTGGATTTCAGTGTGTCTGGGCCTCTCAGTGTGCCCTTTGCCCTCAGGCAGAAAGCAGGCTTGCACAACCCCTCCCCCCC